TAAAAAGCCCAAAAATCTAGACTTTTTAGATGGATGGATGGATGGATGGATGGATGGATGGATGGATAGATAGATAGATAGATAGATAGATAGATAGATAGATAGATAGATAGATAGATAGATAGATAGATAGATAGATAGATAGATAGATAGATAGATAGATAGATAGATAGATAGATAGATAGATTATTGTTTATTTGTAACTAGATTATATACATTTATCTTCCCACAGTACATAAAACTAGTCAATAATAAAAAAAAATTCAAATTGAGGAAAACATGTTCAAACCTACAGCTTTTACAGTATTAAAGGATTAGTTCACCCAAAAATGAAAAATTTGTCATTAATTACTTACCCTCATGCCGTTTCAATCCCCTGAGACATCTGTTCATCTTTGAAACACAAGTTAAGATGTTTTAGATGAAATGGGACAAACCCTCTGGCCCTCCATAGACAGCAATGTTCCCGAGACATTCAAAGTCCGGAAAAGAAACAAAAAACATTATCAAAAATTGCATTCTTCATTAGATCAACTGTTATCATATGAAGCTCTTTAAAAAACAAAACTGTAAACATGACTTTGTTTGCCTATGTTGGATTAGGGTGTGTGTTTACAATCAGACAACCCATTATATTGTTCTCTTGTTGTAGTACATTTTTTAATTAACGTAAATACTTTAATATATTAAAGTGCCCCATTAGGGACTTTAAAAGAGTCATATTTTTTGTTTTGGGAGTCCCCAAAACAGGCTGATATGCATGCAAGGCTAAGAAACACTTGCATTGTCTTATAATATGTAATAGTTATTAATAAATAATTCTACTTAATAATATATATTTATTTTAACCTAAGTATTCCAGGATGCCACAGTGGCTTAGTGGTTAGTGTCTCACAGCAAGTTTGATTCCCGGCAGGCCATTTGGCATTTCTGTATGGAGTTTGCATGTTCTTCCAGTGTTGGCATGGGTTTCCTCCGGGTGCTCCGGTTTCCCCCACAGTCCAAAGACATGCGCTATTGGTAAATTGGATGAAGCAAATTGGCCGTAGTGTATGAGTGTGTGTTTGAATGTGTATGGGTGTATTCCAGTGCTGGCTAAAAGGGCATCCACTGCGATTTAAATTTACAACAAACAAACCAAAAACAAAATTACAAGGTTTGGGGGTACACGGATGGATTAACAAAAAACAAAAGTTAAAAATAAAATTCTGCAACTATATATTTTTTTCTACAAGACCAAATTGTGTGTTTCCCTTTTTTTAAAGATGCCCTGGATCACTCCAGCCAATCCCAGGGCATATTGTCTGCGTAATTAGGGCAGGGGCTGTGCATCTGTGTTATCACAACTCCAAGTAATTACAAAGGAAGACAAACAAAACATCTTAAATGAATGGGTTTCATACCACAGAACAGCGCTTTTCGTGTCCAGTGTGAAAGCCAGTTTAGCTGCTTAAGCAGAGATCTACAAGCTGCACAGTGTGAGCATGCCACACACAACTAAATACATATTAATATTAAATACAAATCCCTGTCATGGAATGGCATATTCCTCTGTAGTCTTCGGTACTGTTCCTTCCTTTAATAGCATATAGCTGGCAAATGCTGCATTGTAGCAGTCATCAGTAAAACGACGGGAACTCAACACAAGACTTAGGCCATGTTAACTTTGACTATTGATTTCTCATAGCCTCATTTTTACCCAATAGAAATACATTTTTCTCTCAATGCAGAATACAGCATCTTTGTGACATGATGCAATCCGTTCCCCTGGAATCCGCTACAGTGTTTCAGGGAGGGGAGAAGTTGTCCTTGGTCTTCTCAAGCAACAAGTGGGTTGACAATATTTCACCACAACGTCACGATTAATGATATTATCATGTGTACCCACATGAGATTGTTTTTGAAAGTCTGATTCAAAATATATGCAAATAATCCATTATTTTTTATACAGTAGTATATTTAGACTGACTGTTAAGCTGACGAGAATTAAATGACCATTAAGTAAAACACCAGTATAGTGAACATAAAAAGAGTGTCTTGATATCATAAGATAATATTAGACAATCAGAGATTAAAATAAGGAAGTTTAAAGATATTTCCTTGCACGTTAACATTTGAGGCTGATTGCATTGGATGGTTTACAGCATTAGGAATAAACGCTTCCAAGGGAGTTAGGCCAGTGAGATTTTACAGTACTAAAGAGGAATCCCCATTGTGTGTTTATCTTTTGTGCGTTAAAGCTTCCTCGTCTCCAGACTGACCAATGCAAGTCTCAACCTACAGCCTTAATCCTAATCTAAATACCAATCCTGGCCCAGGTTCAGGGGGCTACATTAGTAAATCAGAGCTCCTAATCCAGCTACCACAAGCAGCTTTGCAAAGAAATCTGGGGCCTCGCGCACAGCAGTGTATAATTAAGCAGATTTGTCTGTTTGTGTGAGATAGACTATATATTTTATCTTTTGTTCTCTCTCTGAATGTCTCTAGTTGATGGTTTTGTGGTCGTAAGTGATTGTGATGGTAAAGGTGTGACGTTTTTCAGTTGAAGTCAAATCCTACAGTACATATTCAGATACTGTTTTCATGCAGCAGTAAACACAAAAATTTATTTTTAGTTTACCAACAGTGCATTTGTTTGATCACAACATATCCTCATGTGGTTAAGTAATGAAAATCACCAATTTAAATGACTGTTCTTTATTTTTAAAGGTCTCATTGTGTCATTTATTTGTCAACAGAGATACATTTTGAGATCTATCAGAGATAGATTTTTAGAAACCAAGAATTGAGTCTTCAATATGGTGGTTAGGTGATTAAGAAAAAAAAACATTTTGTGCTACTTAATATTTTTAGTGTAAGTGTATATTTTTGTTTTATTTTTTGTTGTGTAATTTTATTTGTTTTTTTTTTTGTTTTATTTGAGAAATAGAAGGTTCAAAATTATTGTGTTTATTTAAATATATATACTTTTATTTGAACTATTTATTTGGCTATTTACATCCAAATAAGGTGAACATTGTAGGAATGACAACAGTTTGCCCATTTGCCTCCCACTTGTTGAGGGTCCAAAAGTAATTAGACAATTGACTTCCAAGTTGTTCCATGGCCAGGTGTGTGTTATTTCCTCACTATTTCAATTGCAAAGAGCAGATAAAAAGTCAAGAGTTCATTTTAAGTGTGCTATTTGCGTTTGGAATCTGTCACTGTCAACTCACAAGATAAAATCCAGAGTTGTCACTATGTCAAGCAAGCCATCATTAGGCTGAAAAAAAACTAACCCATCACAGAGATAGCAAAAACATTAACCGTTGCCAAAACAACAGTTTGGAACGTTCATAAAAAGAAAGGGCACCAGTGAGCTTAGCAACACCAAAAGACCCGGATAATCATGGAAAACAACTGTGGTGGAAGACACACTCTTCACTCTTCACAACAGTTGGCCAGATTAAGAACACTCTTCAGGAGGAAGGTGTATGTGTGTCAGAGTCAACAATCAAGAGGAGACTACATCAGAGTGACTACAGAAGGTTCACAACAAGATGTAAACCATTGGTGAGCCTCAAAAACAGGAAAGTCAGATTACAGTTCTGGAACAACATCCTATGGATAGATAACATCAAGATCTACTTGTACCAGATTGATGGGAAGAGAAGAGTATCGAGAAGGAAAGGAACTGCTTATGATCCTAAGCAGTGAAGCATGGTGGTAGTAGTGACATGGCATGAACATTTATGACTATCAATTAACTAGTTCTCTTGTATTTATTGATGATGTGACTGCTGCCAAAAGCAGCAGGATGAATTCTAAAGTGTTTCAGACAATAATTTCTGCTCATATTAAGCCAAATACTTCAGAATTTATTGGATGGTGCTTCACAGTGCAGATGGAGAATGAAATTAGAATAAGAATGCAAAAGCAACCAAAGAGTTTTTTAAGGGAAAGAAGTGGAATGGCCAAGTCAATAACCTAACCTGAATATGATTGAGCTTGAATTTCACTTGCTAAAGACAAAACTGAAGGCAAAATGCCCCAAAAACAAGCAGCAACTGAAGACAGTTGCAGTAGAGGCCTAGCAGAGCACCACCAGGAATGAAACTCAGCGTCTGGTGAGCTCTCTGCGTTCTAGACTTCATGCTGTAGTTGACTGCAAAGGATTTGCAACCAAGTAATAAAAAGTGAAAGTTTGACTTATGATAATTATTCTGTCCAATTACTTTTAGACCCTTAACAAGTGGGAGGCACATAGTGTATGCCAACTGTTGTAATTCCTACAGCGTTCACCTGATTTGGATGTTAATACCATCACATTAAAGCTGACAGTCCGCAGTTAAAGCACTTATTTGTTTCATTTCAAGTCCATTGTGTTGGTGTATTGAGCCAAAAAGGTTAGAAATGTGTCGATGTCCAGATATATATTTATGGACCTAACTGCATATATATATATATATATATATATATATATATATATATATATATATATATATATATATATAGAGAGAGAGAGAGAGAGAGAGAGAGAGAGAGAGAGAGAGAGAGAGAGAGAGTCGTTCAATTTTATTTGCACTTGCTTAATATTTTTTCTTTTTTAGAACAGCATGTGAAAACTAGAGTAGAGATGGAGAACTATGAATCATTCAAGCAGCAAAAAACACATATACTGTAAATGTGTGACTTAGTGTGCATCTGAAGTTGCATTTTCATCTTCTATGTATGAATGTGTGTATGATTGTAATCTACAGATAGACATTCTGCATTTGCTATTTATGTTTCTTCACTGTCAATCTCAAATTCTCCATGTGGTCATACAACAAAAAAACTATCAATTTTATACTTCAGAATATCAATGAAAATCGTAGGTCACCTGGGTACCTTTTGTCAATTTGTTTTACTTGAAAACAGTGAGGATACTACCTTTGAGCATAATGTGACCAACCTACAATATTGTTGCAAATAATTTTCCATTTAAATGCAGTCTAACCTTACTATTATTTGTTTTTTAGGCAGTTCATTTATCTCCAATTCTACCGGCACTAACTCCTCAGATTTGAATGGCGTAGAGGTAAAGCCTGCATTTACTGGTGAGAACACACCTATCGCCCGGGCACATGTTCACTCTCGGAAACCACGAGCTGGAGACGAGTCTGGCAGCGGTGGAGAAACCTCAACCAGTGCCGTCACAGAAATCACTGTTGATACTTCTGAAAGGGAGCACCTTGTTGGTCTTACAATAGGTGGCATAGCTGCCCGGCTGCCCACTCTAGCTGAATCCCAAAAACGAGCACTGTTCCAGCTAGATTTTAATGAGGAGGGAATGCAAGACAGCGCACCACATTGGAAGAGCAATAGACTACAAGCGGATGGGACTTTGTTAGATCCAGTCACAAGTCCTCCTTCTGAGTCCAGTCATTCCAAACCAGAAGAAATCATCACAGTCAATTTTCACAGTCCTTCTCCTCAACTGGAGATCGTCCATGATCCTCCTGGTTTGGCTCAGGAGCTCCAGGGAGGAGATCCAACATCCTGGACTGATTTCTATGATTATCTGTCACCTGACTATTCACCAACTGAAGTGTATCTAGAGGAGAGCCAACCAACACCACCTGACATGGAAGATGAAAATGTTCCTTTCATTGCCAGTGCGGTTCCCTCCAACACAGGGGTTGTTGATTATAGTGGATCTGGAGAAAGTTTACCCGGAGCAGCGAATGTGCTTGGCAACTCTGGTTGTCTTCTTGGATTTGTGCGTAGAAACGGCACCTGTGTGTCACCGTGCGACATCTTTACCGGATACTGCTTCAATGGGGGTCGGTGTTACGTGGTTGATGGTATTGGTGCTTTTTGCCGGTAAGATGCACACATACAGCACATGTATGATAGCTACAGATATCTCATTGGGTCAATGATGGATTTAAATTGAGGAAAAAGTTTTCCACTCAATAAACTAAATTTCATTTATTCAAGCAAATAATCTTTGGTTGAACAACCTAACTAAATCAGTGAGGGATGCTTTCATGTTGCCTCATGAAGCTTTAAAGCTACAGTACAAATCCTTTGTTTTGAATCAGCATTTTAGACCATAAATGAAACTTATGCAGCTGCCTAGGGTCGGCCCAGCTCTTCACTTTCGTCCGCGACAACCCACCCAATCCTCACTTTCATCCGTGACACCCCATCAAACACCCATTTATCTATGCTTTTTTAAATAATTTTTTTTTACATTTATTTATCACATTTTATGCACAAATCACAGACGCAATCATCTCAATCAAAAATTTTTGACAAGTTCTTTCTAAATAAAGCTATTTAAACCATCTGGTGAAATTTCAATCACATCGCTAATATTCATTCATTTTCTTGTCGGCTTAGTCCCTTTATTAATCCGTGGTCGCCACAGCAGAATGAACTGTCAACTTATCCAGCAAGTTTTTGGAAGGGCAAGGATGCCCTTCCAGCCGCAACCCATCTCTGTGGGTGATCCACACACACATTCACATACACACACTATGGACAATTTAGCTCACCCAATTCACCTGTACCACATGTCTTTGGGGGAAACCGGAGCACCTGGAGGAAACTCACGCGAAGGCAGGGAGAACATGCAAACTCCACACAGAAACGCCAACTGAGCCAAGGTTCAAACCAGCGACCCAGCGACCTTCTTGCTGTGAGGCGATAGCACTACCTACTGCGCCACTGCCTCGCCCTTCATTCATTCATTCATTTATTTTTCTTTGGCACTTTTCTGGCATATGTTTTACGCAGTGGATGCCTTTCTGACTGCAACCCAGCTTTGGGAAAACATCGCTAATGTGTTGCAGAAAAAATAAATATCACAATATCAGATTTTACCAATATCACGCAGGCCTATTTTTTCATTTATTTATAATGTATTTACTCTGTAGTGCAGTTTTCTGTAGTTCAGTTCCAACAGAGAAACATCTAAGAGCTTATTGGAGAAAGCAAGATAACCCACATTATCTACATGAGTAAAAGACCCATTCAGTGTTTCTGCCAGCATCAGTGGCATCTTATCAAATGCTCATAATGAATTTGAAGATGAAGCTCAATCCTTTGGTCATGTTCATGCATCTGTCCATGTGGGATTATTTTTGTTTGACATTTATTTTAAGAGAAGCTTACAGCTGGTCTCTGAAATGTTGCAAAATCAAATGTTGGGATTGAAGACGGATTGAGTCTCAGTTGAAGGCATCTCTTGGGAACAGTAGTTAACGGCCGTCCCTCAGTGATCTTGAAACTGGGCCAAGCTCCTGCAAACATGTGGGACTGGGCTAACCAGGTCATGCACGCCGTCAGTTGCCATAGGGTTTATAGGAAAGCTTGAGCCCTTTATCTAAATGCTCCCTTAAACAGTCCAGTGATCCTAGCGTAACACCATTTTGCCATATTTGTGCATGTGATTACGCATCCCATTGCTTTCATAAAAAGAAAGGTCAGACAGGCCACACCATTATGTTCTCCTGTCATTATTTTGCTGTTATGTGCACATAAAGATGCTTCTAATGCTTTAGCTGAGGGACATGTTTGGTGACAAAACCATGGCAATATTGTATTTATTCAATCTTTTCTCCTTACATCTGTTAGAAATAAATATCACTGATTATTAGCTGTTGCCTAAAAATTATGTAATTATATAGAACAGAATGTTCAGTTCTCAAGTATTTTCATCAGTGGCCTTGAGAAAATCTTGCATAGTGCCTTCATAAGTGAGTTATTTTGTAAGTCATTTAATAGTGACAAAAATGTCATACTTTTATTACTGTTATGCTAGTGGTGGAGGATTTGACCTAAAATCAAAATCTCAATTAATTTTACATTTCAACTCGATTATGATTAATGAATGATTATTTATTTATTTATTTATTTATTTATTTGTTTATTTATTTATTTATTTATTGCCATCATAGTTCACTGATAAGTTTTGTGAGAGATATCTGAATGAAGGGTCCATTACTTAATTTTGAAGGAAACACGCACCATCTACTATCTATATTATTTACTTCAACGTTGAACAACTGAAATTAAAACACAGATTGCAAACAGTCACAATTAGTAAAAAAGTGAAAATAAATTACGTTTGGAAGCAAAATTTATTATTATTATTAGTACTTTTTTCATATTAAAAGCAGAAAATAAGCAGTATCTCGTCTGAATAAAATACCTTTTATATATCCTGTAAATACTATTTAACAGTGCATTTATTGAATGTTCTGTAATCAAATATTTTAATGTAAATAATAATTTTATTGTAATGGAAAATATGCCATCTCAAGGCTTTTCTGGCGCAGCTTCCAATCATCGTCAGTGTAGTGCAAACCTGGAATGTGTAGTTACATTTTTTTAGGGTGCACAGGCTGCACTGAACCACACCCGTGTGTTCGATGCAAAAGTATAAATCAGTTTTAACAGAGTGGGGTCACATGACTCTACACGTGGTAGGGAAAGTAATTGAAAACATTTACTTATATCGATTATTGGTTCTAAATGTTGATTTCTATTTTATTTTTTTATTTTTCAACTAATCGCCCAGCCTTATGTTAGGCTGCATTTGAATGTTCTTACTTTTATTATCCAGCATAGTGGGCCAAACCTTTTCCAATTCTTTTTAATTGAAATAAAAATAAATTATTTATTGTGTCATATTTATAATGTAACTGTATAATCTCAGAGTTGTGCTTTGTATTTCTTATTATGCATTCTTACAGTGGTAGACAGAATACTCAAATACTCATGTAATTAATTCAAAGTAAAGAGTATGTTTAGTTAAGTAAAACCTCCTCTTTTTAGATACAAATTCACGAATTCAGACATTCGTTTATAAATTTTCCTACGACTTAGTCCCTTATTTGTCAGGGGCCGCCACAGAGGAATGAATCGCCAACTATTTCATGTTTTACACAGCAAATGCTTTTAAATACACAAATCAGTACTGGGAAACACCCATAAACTCTCACAACACACAACTCCCAAACACACTCATAACTTACGGCCAATTTAGTTTACCCAATTCACCTATACTGCATGTATTTGAACTGTGGGGAAAACTGGAGCTACCGGAGGAAACCTACACGAACACAGGGAGACCATGCAAACTCCATACAGAAAAGCCAACTAGCCAACTTGGACTTGTTTGCATTTAATAATTCAATTCAGTGGGCCTTTGAATTCAGTTTCAACACCTGTTATTGGCTCTTTTTGTGCCAGGCTTGAATTTAGTGAAAAATTCAATTGAGACTCAGCATGACTAAATCATCTGAATCAGTGAATTGTAAACTGGAGACTCGCTCTGATCAAATCATTGAAATCAATGAGTTGTTGGCCTTAGAACAAATGCAATCAGATCAGTCATCTTCACAAATGTTTTATTTATTTTTTATTTTTTTTTATTAAAAATTGCTTTTTAGTAACTAAAATGAAATAGCTTTTTCACAGTTTGCAACATATAATTCCAGGTCAAAATAATGACAAAAGGCTAGTTTTGATGAAAAATTGAATATGATAATGCTTTGGAATAGACTGAAGTAAAACAAAACATAAAAAAAAAAACACATACAGTACACAGTAACTATGTATTAATACTGCCCACCACCAATTTTTTAGAACTTGAAACATTTTTAAAGGGGTGGTCCTCTACAATATCATATTTTAAACTTCAGCACATGTGTAATTTAGCTGTGTAAACATAAACAACATCTCTAAATGTAATATGCTCAAATTCAAGGCAAAGGGAGATATTAGCTTCTAGAGAGTTAGCTTAGCAAAGCCTACAGCGAACGAAGCTTGGGGACTACAAAAAAGTACATCCAGGCTAGTGAGATTACAAACGCTTCAGATTACATGCATTCACCACGTGCATACACCCCACGCAACAAAGGAGCGTGGCCAGAGGTGCTGTAATGTTAAAGCAGAGAAAGCTAAAATAGCGTCTACACACTGCTATTCCAAAAGACACGACACAATGACAAAAGTGCTTACCATTTCATTTTAATTATGGTCCAGAGAATTATATATATATAAAAAAAGATGTAACTCTAGCATTTGACAAAGGAGAGCTTCCAGAATCTCCCAGTTCTGTGCTGGATTCGGCTAAAATCTCCTCAAAGTAGGAGCCACTCCAACCATAATAGATGAAGCTGTGGATTCTCAGCCACAACCTTTAAGTATTTTTATTTGTAAAAATTTATCAATTATATGTACAGTTTCTAGCGTGAATGGTATTGTGTGGCAAGGTTGTAAACAAGGATGTAAACAATGGAAAATGCTGTTTGGCACAGCTAACAACTAAACTACAAATTCATATTTATCCATCAAACCGCTGTAAACACTCACAATCTTTACCAGTGTGTGTAGTGTCTCTCTATGGGTACACTTTCCATGGGTCACATCTCAAATAACAAACTCGCAAAAGATATGTGAATGTTTCATATTACTTACACATGCTTATTCTTAATATACTGTATGTGAAAGACACTTGACAGGTTTTATTTTAAACTGATACGGCTAACAGCAACTCTTGCTGACAGTATTTACACAGCACAAAAGCACATGCTTGAAGCGCTGTGAAGTTTTTCCTGGTGATGAGTAGCCGATCCACGAATCACAGCACTTTGTGTTAGCTGACCAATCAGAGCCTCTTTATATGATTTTGTATTTACAGTTTTTACATTGTTTTTTTATTTTATACAAAACACCAAATATTAGCATGTATAATTGGATCTTAAATATAATCTCAAATTTGACACAATGTTTTTACAAAAATCATTCTTGTGATATGAATTGCTGTAATTTTAGTACCACAATGTGAAATTCTGAAAGCCTGCCATTGTGGCTTGGCGCATATCAATCTATACTAAATCATCCTCTACTGTCGCCGCAGCCATGCTCATAGGCCTGCTCAGATCCTTATTAAACATTTGCCCAAAGGGATTTGGGTCAGAGCCCAGATCTTTGAATGTGTGTATTTCAGTTTAAGAGCTAAAGACCCTGCCTCAAGCTGCTGGTTTGGGCCAAACTACTGAGATTTTAGGAATCTTATTTGAGCGTAGTAAAGCCTCAAGGCTAGATTATGTGAAGTGTGAAGCTGTGTGTTTAAGCAGAAGATCATTCACTTAACACATGGATTCACACTCTCACATCCACAACCTGACCCTGTCTGTCTAGATTTTTTATCATTGAATATTTTATAAATAACAACAATAACAACAGCAATAATAATCAAATTATAATAAGTAAAATATCTTCAGAAATATAACAATAAATAAATGATCTCACCTACATAATTTAAATATTATTATTAATAAAGTAATAAAGTAATAAATAGAAGACATATGGCGACGCAGTGGTGCAGGTAGTGCTGTCGCCTCACAGCAAGAAGGTCACTGGTTCGAGCGTTGGCTTAGTTGGCGTTTCTGTGTGGAGTTTGCATGTTCTCCCTGCGTTTGCCTGGGTTTCCTTCAGGTGCTAGGGTTTTCCCGACAGTATAAAGACATGTGGTACAGGTGAATTGGGTAGGCTAAATTGTCCATAGTGTATGAGTGTGTGTGTGAGTGAGTGTGTGTGGATGTTTCCCAGAGATGGGTTGCGGCTGGAAGGACATCCGCTGCATAAAAACTTGCTGGATAAGTTTGCGGTTCATTCCGCTGTGGCGACCCCGGATTAATAAAGGGACGAGCCGAAAAGAAAATGAAAATGAATGAATACATATATATATATATATATATATATATATATATATATATATATATATATATATATATATATATATATATATATATATATATATAATAAATACTCACCGGTCACTTTATTAGGTACACCTTACTAGTACTGGGTTAGACCCTCTTTTGCCTTCAGAACTGCATTAATTTCTCATGGCTCAGATTCAACAAGGTACTGAAAATATTCCTCAAAAATTTTGGTCCATATTTTGGACATGATAGCATCACAAAGTTGCTGCAGACTTGTCAGCTGCATATCCATGATGCTAATCTACCGTTCCACCACAACCAAAGGTGCTCTATTAGATTAAGACCTGGTGACTATGGAGGCCATTTGAGTACAATGAACTCATTGTCATGTTCAAGATACTAGTCTGATATGATTGGCGCTTTATGACATGGTGCATTATCCTGCTAGAAGTAGCCATCAGAAAATTGGTACACTGTGGTCATAAAGGGATGGACATGGTTAGTAAACTCATTGTCATGTTCAAGAAACTAGACTGAGATGATTTGCGCTTTATGACATAGCGCGTTATCTTGCTGTTATTAACCATCAGAAGATAGTTACTCTGTGGTCATGAAGAGATGGATATGGTCAGCAACAATACTTAGGTACATTGTGACATTGGCATGATGCTCAATTGGTACTAATGGTTCCAAAGTGTGCCAAGAAAATATCCTCAACACCATTACACCACCACCTCCAGCCTAAATCATTGATACAAGGCAGGATGGATCCATGCTTTCATATTGTTGACTCCAAATTTTTACCCTACCGTCCAAATGTTGCAGCAGAAAACGAAACTCATCAGACCAGGAAAGGTTTTTCAATCTACTATTGTCCAATTTTAGTCAGCCTGTGAGAATTGTTGCCTCAGTTTTCTTTTCTTAGCTGACAGGAGTGGTCCCAGGTGTGGTGTTCTGTTGCTGTAGCCCATACACCTTAAGGTTGGATGTGTTGTTCATCCAGAGATGCTCTTGTGCATATTTTAGCTGTTGTAACAAGTGGTTATTTGAGTCACTGTTGCCTTTCTATCAGCTTAAGCCAGTCTGGCCATTCTCCTCTGACCTCTGGCATCAACAAGGCATTTGTGCACACAGAACTGGATATTTTCCCTTTTTTGAATCATTTTCTGTAAACCCTAGAGATAGTTGTGTCAGAAAATCTCAATAGATCTGCAGTTTCTGAAATACTCAGACCAGCCCGTTTGGCACCATGCCACATTCAAAGTCACTTAAATCACTTTTCTTTACCCATTTTGATGCTCAGTTTGAACTGCAGCATATCGTTTTGACCATGTCTACATGACTAAATGCATTGAGTTGCTGCCATTTGATTAGAAATTTGTTTTAACGAGCAGTTTGTACAGGTGTACCTAATAAAGTGGCCAGTGAGTGTTCATATACTCTCAAAAATGTTCCTTGTTCTAACTACTTGTAAATGAGCTCAAACAACACAATTCCTGAGGATTTTTTGGGACAACCTAATTGTTTTATGTTTGTTCAGCCTAATTACTTTCAAAAACGTAAATTATTTGTGTATTTGTGTATATATATATGTATGTGTTGTTTGAGCTCATTTACAAATGTACAAATGGAGTATATATATATATATATATATATATATATATATATATATATATATATATATATATATATATATATATATATATATATATATATATATATATATATATACTGTATATGTATGTATATATACTCCATTTGTACAATAATATGATACAATACATAGATAGAATGTTTCAGAATTTTTTTGCCTGTTTATTTATTTATATATTTTCAAGCAAACCTACACCCACTTTAATTTATTAGTATGTAATAGCAACTTCCAACCAGAATCTGGACTTCAGTGTGTGGCACATGCCGTAGGGCTAATTGTCGATCGTTGAGAGAAAGAATAACAGGGTGATGTCAACAGTAATGGGGTCAGTGCTATTAGAAAAGGCCAGCTTTCTATCTATAGATTGAAAAAATCATCTATTAGATTTTAATAAGATTTGAGGAGCTCCAGATGGGGTGGACGTTTTACTTAACCATTGGTAGATATGCATAGCCAAAGCATGTAGACTAACCAATGGCTTAGATTTAAAGGATGGATAGTTAGTAATGGACCATATACAGTTTAAAATTGATCTCTTTGACCCAATGAGTAAGCATGGCCTATATACACAGTATTGCAGTAATGTATTATGGATTTTTTTCACTCACTACAAATGTTACCCGTAGACTGTTGATTGTACATGGTTTGTGTTTTGTTTTTGACTGCCATCATATCACATTTCTATTACCTATGCATTTTATTTGACTTTATTATTCTGGCAGAGTAAAACCGGATAATGTAACTTATAATCTGGTGTCTAAAAGGTTATTTTACAACATTGCCATCAGATTTTTGTCCTATTACTATTAGTATATTGAGCTTTTAAACAACAAACTGTATTGGCTAATATATTATTGGCTAATATATTATCTTCAAATATACACTTCAGACAATATAATTATGGCAGCACATTTAAAATATTGTAAATGAGCAGAGCTTAATACTACTTACTCTCTCTTGGACCGCACAAATAGAGGAGCACATGCATGACCTTGACTGGGCCATCTGTCCAGCTGTGCAGCTTTGCAGGAGTCTAACCTTGCAGTAGAATCACTAACAATAAATGGGTCAGCAGGCCACACAACACACAGTGTGAACCAGTGAACAAAGATACTTCCGTCTTCAGAGAAAGATGTGTTTGTCATGGCCAGTTTGTTTAAATGTCGGAAAAAAAAAAAAAATTTAAACACCATTAGATAACACCTTAATTGATCATTTATAAACATGCACACTCCTTATAGTACTAAAGCTGTTTTTATTGTTGAAATATGAGAAATTTTAACATATAACATTATATACAATTATCAAATATCATATGTGTGTGTTAGTGTGTATTTAATATTACATTATATATTACATTTTATGTTTTTATTTGATATTGTTGAATTGTATTGTTTATGGGTTTTTCTTTGTTCATATTTCCTTTGGTTCATAAGTATTGAATTAAAAGCCCAAAGATTTGAAAATAAAAAACGCAATTATAAAAAATATTAACCATTTGAGAAGTAGTTATCTGAACCAGTTTCAGTTTTTATTGAAACTGTTTTATTTCAGTTTTTTCACAAAATTCTTGACCAGATTTTTTTTTTGTAAATACTTCCATTTTCGTTTAAATCTTTTATTTCTTCAGTTTTAATTTACAAAATGAATATAACATAGTGTCCATGAGAGACAATAAATTTGACTATTCTAGCTGCCATTTTCAGTCTCAAATTTTTTTTTCTTTTTCTGAAAGTCTTGATATCGTTCAGCAACACTATCGATAAGCAATACTATTGTTTTATGAAGGATGTTATATACAGTCCTGTTTAAGGTGAAAAATATTGTGACCATAATAAAATGTAAATGAGTATTATTTATATATTGATATAATTCTTTTTTTTTTAAATATTCAGTTTATTCCAGTGATGACAGGAAAGTCATCAGTCAATTGATCTTTCAGAAAAAGTTCTAAAATGCAAATTTGGTGGTCAAGAAACATTTCTTATTGTTGCTGCTTAAAATGTTTGTGAAAACGCATTCTTTCTTTGTTTTATATATATTTATTTAATATAAAGTTCGAATAAAAAATTGTCTAACGTCTGTCTCTCTGGTTTGTATAGGTGCAACATTCAGGAGTATATCTGGAACAAGGGCTCCAGGTGTGAATCAGTCATTTCAGATTTCCAAGTGATGTGTATAGCCGTGGGTGGAGCCGCCATCATGTTGCTTCTCCTCTTCATGGTTATAGTGTTTTTCTCCAAGAGGCTGCATGTGCTTAAGACTGAAAACAGACGCCTTCGCAAGCACAGGTGAAACTCACACATAAACACACGACTGACGGCACATGCTGGACTTTAGTTTCACATTTGACTGTTTTAATGTTACCCGAGGTGAGCTGATACATTAGCATGCATTTAGTAGTACTTTTTGGATTACAATAAAATGTACAGTGTTAACAAAGGCTTTGAACACAGTGATATCACCCTTCTTTGCTGAAAGTAGGCCAATCTGACTGTGCAACACAAGAGAGAGAGAGAGAGAGTGACCTATATACTGTGCAGCCAAAGGCATTTAAACAGTCCAAGAGAGGGGTGAGATGGAGTGCAAAGAAGTGGAAGAGATAAAGGGAAGCGAGCATTGTGAAGAATATAAGATGACAACAGTGGAAAGGGAGTGTAAGTTTTTACTGTCCAGGAGGAGCATCTGCTCCAGCACATTTGTGTGCATAAGCTATAATTCTGGATTAAATTTTCTTTTTAAATGCACTGAAAATCATCTCTCCTGTGGGATGGTGACAGTTTAGGGGTCAAAGACCTCATGGAATCGACATTTTATGGCTTATTGCTCAGGTATGTTTGCTTTAAGAGCATCTACAGTGGTTTGAAAAAGTGAGCCCCCTTTCTGAGTTTGTTTTTGCATTATTTGTCACACTTTAATGTTTCGAATCATCACACAATTTAAATATTAGTCAAAAATAACACAAGTAAACACATCAGAGGTCGCCACAGCAGAATGAACCGCCAACTCATCCAGTATGTGTTTTACGCAGCGAATGCCCTTTCACTCTTACATATACACACATACACTACAGCCGATTTAGCTTATTCAGTTCACCTGTACTGCATGTCTTTGGACTGTGGGGGAAACCGGAGCACCTGAAGGCAACCCATGCAAACATAAGGGAGAACATGCAAACTCCACACAGAAATGCCAACTGGCCCAGCCGAGGCTCAAACCAGTGGCCTTCTTGCTGTGAGACAATTTTGCTACCCACTGCGCCACCGTGTCGCCCATTAGTTTTGAAATGAAGGTTTTTTATTATTAATTGAAAATCAAAATATAAAGAAAAGTATTGTTTTTATTTACATGATTTTATTTTTGTTAAACTATGTTTTTGTGTGGAGTTTGTCTGTTTCCCCCACAGTCCAAAGATATATAGGTGAATTGGGTAAAGCAAAAATTGTCCATAGTGTGTATGGGTGTTTACCAGTACTGGGTTGCGGCTGGAGAGGCATCTGTTGCATAAAAATGGAAAATGAATTAATGATTAATCATCTTGTATTCAGAATCAGAAAGAACTCTATTGCCAGGTATATGCACACATACGAGGAATTGGTTTTCGTGACAGAGCTTCTACAGTGCAACAGAATTACAGAGACAGAACAAAAACAGATAATAAATATATTTAAAAAAAGAAGTAAGTAGTCATTGCAAGTATATAAATTGGCAAGTGTATGTAGTAGGTATATTACTATATACAACTTTATATGTGCAGCTGGTAAATGCAAATTGGCAAGGAAAGTGTTGTTAAATAAGTATATGTGTGTATAAAAAGTGTATAGCAAGTAGAGATGTTGGTTCCACAATAACTGTCATCAAGTGTTCATGAGATGAATTGCCTGAGGGAAGAAACTCTTTCTTTGTCGGACTGTTCTGGTGCGCAGTGCTTTGTAACGTCGACCATAAGGTAAAAGTTCAAAGAAGCAGTGTCCTGGGTGTGAGAGGTCCAAAGTGATTTTGGCTGCCCTTCTGCTCACTCTGGATAAGTACAGTTCTCAGAGATAGGGAGGGTTGTACCAATGATTCGCTCAGCAGTCCGAAGTATTCGACGAAGTCTTCGAAGGTCAGATTTGGCTGCTGAGTTAAACCAGACAGTTATTGACGTGCAGATGACTGATTCAATGATGGAGGTGTAGAACTGTTTCAGCAGCTCCTTTGGAAGGTTTAACTTCTTCAGCTGACGGAAGTATTTAATATTACTTAAGTTTATTTTGAGTATGAATTCAATCATATGCAATAAAAGACTGTGAAGCCCTGTAAAAGGAGGTGTTACTATGAACTCAACTGACTGACTTGTCTCCTGTTTGATTTCACAAGAGTTTGGTCGGACCTTAGAACTGTGCATTAATTATGAACTTCACCAAATTAAACATAAAAAGTAAAAGGTATAGATCACAAACTTTTTCATGTTTATTTATGGGGCGACATGGTGTCTCAGCGGTTAGTACTGTTGCCTCACAGCAAGAAGGTTGCTGGTTTGAGTCCCGGCCAGGCCAGTTGGCATGTGTGAAGTTTGCATGTTTGATTGTGTTTCACCGATCGTACAAAGCTGTGCTGTACAGATGAGTTGAATAAACTAAATTTGCCGTAGTGTGTGTGTGAATATGAGAGTATATTGGGTGTTTCAGAGTAGGGTTGCAGCTAGAAGGGCATTTGCTGTGTAAGATGGATAAGTTGGCGATTTATTTCGCTGTGGCAACCACTGATGAATAAAAGGACTAAGCTGAAGGAAAATAAATGAATTAATTTTTATTAAGTTCAAAGGGTAAAGGCAACAATAATCAAATACTTTTATTGTGCAAAAATACACTGAGCAGCTTTGTAAAAGGCAAAGACCCAATCACCAATGTTGTTGCCATGGCTGTTTTATCTTCCATGCTATCCATGCAGTACTAATTGGACCATAGTGTGTTAAATCGATATATTAAAGCAGGGGTAAAAATATACCACATCTTCTTTTCTTTATTTCATCTGTCCTTCTTTTCACTTCATGTATAAGTATAAATGTCACGGTTGGTTGCAAGAAAGCAGACCCAGTTGCAGCAATGAACTATACAAAAAAGGGGTTTATTGACAGAATAAGGCACAAAAAGACAGACAAGGGCTAAACGGTAGGGGCAACAACACAGGCAAGCCAGTGGTAGAGATAAAGGGCCCGTTTCAGAAAGGAGGTTAAGTGAAAACTCAGAGTATTTTAACCCTGAAATGAGAGAAACTGCGTTTTCCGTTTCAAAACGGCAGGTTTGTTAAACTGGAGAAAGCAGGGTAAGTAAAGCCTGTTTCTGAAAGAGAGGTAACTTTAACTTAGAGTCAGGTACTGTGGTAACTTACTCTGTAAACCTAACCTGTTCAGGAGCCGTTTTTATTCCCTAAACTTTGAGTTTCTGTCAGTCTCCTCCCCTTTTTTAAAGACGAAGCGGTTTTTCTCGCCTTAGCCTTACGTTTCCACCCACTGATTTTAATGCTCGTTTTGGAGATGCGCATAAAAACGGTTGATGGAAATGTCATGATGTACATAACTTTTAAAAATATGCATGATGATGAAAATGTGTGTGAATGGACAAACACAGCAGGCTGAGCGTATTGTAATACAGTACATCTTAAATGTTGTTTTGGTTATTCTAAAAGGCCTTATGTTTTAGTATTAATGTTTTTATATTATTAATGACCTCCAGAGCTTCTGGAGCATGTAGAGCGTCTGTTCTCCACGTCTCATGGCTTCAAACGACCCCATGCGTTCATTTTGTGTCAGCATTGTCTTCTGAGGCGCAAGTACATTTATTAAGTAAAGAAAAGATTGACGCAGCTTCTTCTACCGCAATAAATTCTGTTTTTACTTTTGATATTTGGCACCAGTAATCAGGAAATGACGATTTTGTTTTCTCAGACTCGTTGAGTGGAAACGCTGCTTTATTCGCACATCTTTTATGCTCTTTTATATTCCAGATTTTCACATAAATTTAATTAATATATTTGGATGGAAACATAACTATTGCCTACATTTCAGTCACACAAGGAACAAGTCACATATAAGAATGCCTTGTCCTTTTTAAATAAATAATTAGCTTAAATAGACTGACCTTCAACAGGGACATGTACTGTTACTAGATTAACGGGATTATTATTCTTTCTAAAAAACTATTGTTTAGTTCTGCTTACATTCTTAATGTCATATCAACCTCTATCACTTGATCTATAATAGAGGCAGACACAAAAGTGCAGTTTTAAATCTATTAAAACTGAACATGTATAAGTGGGAACGTGTGTAAAAATTGTATAAATGTCACACATAACATTACTTATTTTTTTATACTTTGATATTTAAATACTTTAAATGTAAAATTACGCATTAACTTGAGCTATTTTCCCACGCTAACTGTCTCTGTTTCACTGATGCAGTGGTGTTGCTTTTTAAACATATGGTCATATTTGCTATAATTTTGCATAAGCAGATCAAGTTCAGCTGGAGAAAGAAATGGTGATCTATTTTAGAAGATGTTGCCATAGTCACTTGTATTATCTGTGCTCTATTGATAATGCCTTTTAGTCGCAGTGTGCCACTCAGTGGCGGAAAGAGTACTGAAAAAGCATACTTAAGTAAAAGTACCATTACTTGCCTAAAAAGGCAGTGTGAGTAGAGTAAAAATACCTGTTGTAAATAGTAGTCAAAGTAGGAGTAAAAAGTAGCCCTTTTAAAAGTACTCATGAGTAGTGAGTATTATGCTATTAGAAGTTGATGCATTTACATGTAATTTGTAAATGTGTGTGTAAACGTTACATTCTGTAGTGCATTTAGTTATTGCCCAGCAGGCACACAATGTCATAAGACGTTAATATTAGGTTAGTTTTAGGTTTGGATTACAGATGACAAAAATTCAATGTCTAGTCAGCATCTAAGGACAATATTATTTTGATGTCCAATAATGACACCAAATGACGTTGATATTTGGTGGATTTTAGGTTGTTAGAAAGTGACCAAAATCCAATGTCGAGCCAACATCTTAAACCAACATCCTACTGATGTCAAATACTGACATTTATTCATCAGTTATGGCAACCAAAATTCAACGTCTGATAGATATCATAGTGGTAACGTCGACACAACGTCAAGCTGTAACAACATTAGACATTGATATTTGGTTGGTTTTAGGTTGGACGTTGGACATTGACATCGGGCTGACATTGAGTTCTGATGTGAACCCGATTTTCATTTCCAAACAAAATGTTTAAGGGTGTTTCGGTCATCATACTGTAAATATACATCATCGTCTCATCAGTAACATGCATCTAAGCCAGGGGTGTCCATACTCGGTCCTGGAGGGTCAGTGTGCTGCAAAGTTTAGTTCCAATCCCAATTAGATGCACCTGGGCTAGCTAATCAATCTCATAATAGGCTTTCTAGAAACATCTGTGTAGGTGTATTAAGGCAAGTTGGAGCTAAAATCTGGAGGACATCGGCGCTCCAGGACTGTGTTTGGGCATCCCTGATCTTAACAGCCTCTGGGTCAATGTGTGTAAAGATTTTGAACATCTTCTTGGATGCTTTTAATGCTTCCAAACAGTTTGCTGCATTGTAAAGTGCACATGTCTCGAGGTAGTTCATTATGATGCAATTTACCTTCTTTGTGTGATTTGATTAGACAGGAATTACAGGACTGATTTTCCTAATTCCCATAAAAAAAGTTATAAAGTAGTGACTGCAGGTTGAAGAAAAGTAGTGGAGTAAAAGTACAGATACTGCACTAAAAATGTACTCAAGAAAAAGTATTTTTTTTAAACTACTTAGTAAATTACAATTTCTGAGAAAAACTACTCAAATACTGTAATTTAAATATTTTGTAATTATTCACTTTACACCACTGATGCCACTTAACTCTGAGTTGGTCTACTCAAAGTTGATTGACCTAATTCAGATCCGCTATTCTGAAACCGAAAAGTTTTTAATCTCTTGGTAAATCAACTCAGAGTTCAAGTTTAAACTCCAAGTTGGTTGAACCACAGCACTGAAACAGGCCCAAGATGGTTCTAAAATAAACAACCAGCCAGGAGTAGGAGCAACAGTAGTCAAAACCAGAGCTAGATCCTGGAGCAAGCCATGTAAACTCCAGACTGGCAGGCCAGGGAGGTCCGGACATGGGATAGGACTGGAAAATTATAAGACACAATACAGGGCAGCAATAATATACAATAAAACTAACTAAATCTAAAATAACACGATCAAATATATATACTAGAAGAGAACTAGACTGACTTGGGCAATCTGAAAAAACAAACTGAAATAAAGACTTCTAGAATCTTAATAAGTAATTAAACAACAACTAATAATAAATCAACTACTAAAAAGACTGGGATTGATAGAAGAACAAAATGGAACAAAAATAGTTCAAAGGATAAAAGCAAAATAAAGATTAGAACACAAAATTAAGTAAACACTAGAAATCAACAAAAGAAAGTAATAGCTACTGTACAAACAAACAACAAGCTAGAACAGGCAAGACAAAAAGCTCAGTAAAGATACAAGACAAGCACACATGGAACAAACCAGCAAATAAATGAGAAGACAGCACAATATACAGAACAAAGCACACGAAAGACAGGTAAAAACAATCAGGATAGCAAGGTCTAAATGAGAGGGCGGGATACTTGAAAACGAGGAGGAAAGACAAGAGGAACACATGGCCAACACAAATTAAGGCACAGCAATGTAAATAAGCACAGGACAACCAAGCAAACATTAAACACTGACTGGACAGACAAAACTGTCAGGTCAGGACCATGACAATAAATATAGCATACTACAGCGTTTCAAACATTCAGGCAACTCTTTCTCAAGGCAACATTAAGTTTGTCCCAATACGTTTTACTATGTAATCATATCTTGTTTTCTCTCTGTCTTTCAGTAAGTACCGTCCAAAGTCGGAGCAGCACATTGATAACTTCTCGCTGTCCACTGTTGCAGAGGGCTCTCAGGCAAACGTAAGGAAACTGTGTGACACCCCGACTAACCTCCCCCATGCTCGTGCTTTGGCTTACTATGATAACATTGTGTGTCAGGTAACTTTTCCTCTCCTTTCTTTCCCCTCTGTTTTCCACCATGCATGAGAACTGGAGGTATAAATTATTCACCCTGTCTCGATTTAGGTGGTATATTCTTCTTTTCTTGACACACTTCATGTGTGGAAGATCACACTTTTCCACTGTCATCATCATTATCATCATAATGAGAAATTCTCTTCATCCCTGTCTCTTTTCTGTGATTGTCGTCATTACCTCACATGCTCCCGAGGTCATGTGAGGTACTGCAGGCTGCATGAAGCATTGCGGAAACTGTATTATTTCATGTGGTTTCAAACATACTGATCGTATTAGTTAGTGGTTGTGAAGCGGGGTTGGGCAATCAGTGCAATGTTTTTCAAACAGCCGTACTTAAAGTGCAGTTTAAGTCCTGTTCTTGCACAGGACACAGTGAAACTCAGTACATTTACATGGACAACATTGTTCTGATATTTACTCACAATTGACTCATCCTCAAATGGTTCCAAGCATTATGAGTTTCTTTATTCTGTTAAACACAAAACATGATATTTAGTAGAATGTTGGAAGCATAATACAAAAAAACATAGTTTGGAAGACCAAAATTCTTCATAATATCTTCCTTTGCTTTTAACTGAAGGACAAAACAACAAAGTTGGAACTGAGTAAATGATAGAAGACTTTTTATTTTTGCGTGAACTATACCTTTAAGACAATAATCTAATTAATCGACCATGTGAATAGAAATGTTTGATTAACTTAGTCCGGCTAAAGTCATATTCACAATATAAACATGCCATATACTGCATTGATTCAATAAGTTAAAGATGCAGTATGTAAGTTTGATACCCCGTTGTATTGCATGCCTGGTTTAAAACACAAATAAAGCAGGTTGCCAGATTGATGACATCAACAGGAGCAAGATTTAGAATATTTTCCATATTAAAAGGAGTTTTTGTTCTAACCAACACCTGAATATTATATTTTAGAAACGGCTTCTATTTCTTGTAGCTGTACAAGAGGGCAATCATCTACTCAGGTACACCTCATGTGCTTTATTCAGTTTTAAATGCTAATAATGTGTGTTTGAATGCCATTTTGCATGACATTTATTGCCTTACTACTGAAAGCAGCAGCCGATAGTTCACCTCAGATCTTAAAAATAAAATAAAATAATTAAATAAACCATTTGAAATTGAATTTTAGAACTGTGGCTTAGTGCAAGCCAACACATGTCAATGATTCAGCATGTACATTCAATAATGTTAAAGAGGTTAAATATGTATGAATTTGATTGTAAACCTTACCATTTTGTTGGAGTGCAGTAAGTGCACTATTCAGTGCTTCTAAATGACTGTTTTTGAATTTCTCTCATGTTTCGTCTGGTGCAAACAGCCAAATTGCTTATCACTATGCATTACTTAGCGTATTAGAACACACACTATAAAAAATGCAGTGTTCCACGCAATTCGTTTATGTTGTCCCAATACAAATCGATTAAGTTAACTTAACACTTTTAACAAATTTATGTGGATTGAACAGAAAAAATATGTAATTGTCGAAATGAAATCTCAAGAGTTGTGTTGTTTCAGCTCATTTTAATTAAATAGTTTGAACAAATAAAAAAATATTAATTTTGAGTGCAGGGTTACAATGTAAACTGCTCACCTAAAGTTTGTGTTCATAATATTTATATTTTTTGCTAATTAATAACCTCATGTGGAAATCTGAATCTGTATCTCATTTTGGAGTTTGCTACTGTCCACACATTTTGTTCAAGGGCGCATGCTTTGAGAGCCTTCATGACTGAATGAATGAAATACGCTGTTTTAGAGTGAGTGAGTTGTCTCATATGAGTCACAAGAGTAAACTTTTTTTCTCCCCAGTTGAGTTAAAATACAGCCTAAAATATAGCCTAAACTATAATTAAACTTTACAAAAGAGACCAGTATTTTGAAGCTTTAATAAAAAATAAAGATAAAAAAACTGCCTGGGGCTGGCTCATTAATAATCCTGTGTGCAACATATCACTCTGTGTTTTGACTGCTGAACTTCTGTTGATGCATATTTGACCTAAAGTTCAAGCAAATGTTGATCGCATGCTAATGAAATGCTCAGTTAGCAAACTATACCGTAGGCCTGTTTTCCACCAGGGTTTTCCACTTGCAGAATTTGCATAAAAATGAGAAAAAAGTATTTTTGAGGCTCATGGTGTTAAATGGAGCTTAATAAACTTAGCATTAAAAAAGTGAAATACAACTCACCATCAAATTCAATTTGATCTGCAGTTAAAAACTCCCTCATGTTAACATTTTTAAATCTCTGTCGCATCGATTTAATGCAGCGTCGATGAAGAAAAGTCTTATTGGTGGACCAGTGTATAGCAACGTGAAAAACCAACCCCAAAAAAATCCCCAAAGCATGCTTATTTTTAGAAATGACAATTTTACACCTGCCATTTTGCATAATTGGTGTGCACAATCACATTTGGTGGCCTTTGTTTAGTCACAAAGCATTGAAGGACATCGAAAAATACAAGCAAAAATCGCAGCAGTGTGCATTGGACTTAACATGTAAAATAGGAAACTGAAAGGAATATTTTAAAAAATAGCTTGAGTAAACACTTTATTGACTGATTCAGAAAAAAGTAAATAATTAGATTATTGTTGTCCATGTAAATGCGCACTAATGGAACGTAATGCTGAGGCTGAGGTTAATTGAGAGGGCATGATGAGGCAGTATTAGAAGTGTGTCACTAGAGTAATCCTCTCTCGCCACCCCACTCCTTAGAAAACCATGAGCAGATACACGTGGGAATATAAGCCCAAAGAAGATCCCTGCAGTGAGGTAAGACTCAAACTGACCTCCTCCTGATGGCACTTACCTTCCCTGCTAATTCAAAACAATGCTTTAATCCTGTAGTTTCATTATTACTCACCTCAGAAAGTCCAATATCTTAGTAATCACATCACAGTAATCACTTTATTTCTTGTGTAATTATGTGGCAAAGCAATAAGCAATTTAGAGGTTAAAGGCGATTCTTCTCTGTAGTTGCTACTGTGACTTTGTAGTTTGCATAAAACCTGCTTCATTTACCTGTTTTTCATGAGAACTTGTAGTATCACTATCTAGTCCATTCTGTGTGTAATTCTTGAGATGCACAAAATATATACCAAGGTTTATTCATTCATTTTCTTTCCGGCTTAGTCCCTTTATTAATCTGGGGTCGCCACAGCGGAATGAACCGCCAACTTACCCAGCATATGTTTTTGCGCAGCAGATGCCCTTCCAGTTGCAACCCATTTCTGGGAAACATCCATACAAATTCATAAACTACGGACAATTTAGCCTACCCAATTCACCTGTATCGCATGTCTTTGGACTGTGGGGGGAACCGGAGCACCCGGAGGAAACCCATGCAAACGCAGGGAGAACATGCAATCTCCACACAGAAACGCTAACTGACCCTGCCTAGGCTCGAACCAGCAACCTTCTTGCTGTAAGGCGACTGCACTACCTACTGCGCCACTTCGTCGCCACCAAGGTTTATCTGTATTTAAAAATTAATGAAATAAGATAAATTAATATATTTCATTATCAAATCAGATACTTGAATATTAAATACTAGAAAAATAAAATAACAAAAATCTTGAAAACCCACATAAAAGTGTTAAAAACATTAAGATTTGAAAATAATCTCTAGAGAAAGAAATTTTTATACTTTCCAAAATTACATTTGGTGCAAAAAATAAAAAATAAAAAAGTGACAATATACAGCTATATCGAACTGCTATTAGTGTTATGCATTTATACAACAGTTTGATGGCATACTTGTGTGCAAAAAAATCAAACACGAAGAGTCTTCAAAACTTTTTGTATAAGGAACTACTTCTGCCATTTATTCACATCTGCAGCTGACATCATCACTTTAGAGCTAGTATTTAATGGATTCTCTAGTGCAGAGATGGCCCAAGTTGACCCATTGTAACCTTTGATTTGGCCCACCATCCCATTTGAGCGGAGAAGTGAGTATGATGGAGAGGGTTGGGACGAACGTCTTTAACACAGACATCATCATTTCTAATGTGATGTAACCTTTTTTCTTTGTTTTATTGCTGCACTACAAAAAAGCAAACTGAAATGAAATGTTTATTCAATTAAATGTTGTAAATGAATTTGATTTTTTAAAATTTAAATATTGTCACATGACAGATAGAGAACTATGCAGAAGACATTGGCAAGCAAATCAAGGCAAAATCTAGTGTAATTCTGTTTTAAATGAGATTGTTTTGTTTTTATTGTAATAAGTTCATTATTAAATGTAAACAATGCATTAGTTAATATGAAGAAATGCTTTCTAGTCATTTCTAAACATTATTAAATAAACTAGGAAGTTACCCATCTATATTTACTTTCAGCCCACTAGCCTCAGTCAAGTTAGGTTTTTGGCTCTTCATAAGAAGAAGTTTAAAGGATATTATTGCTCTAGCATAATATCTAAAGTGATGAAAAAACAGAGGATTTTGCCATCAATCTAGAGACATTTTCCAGTTTTTCTCTGTTAAAATCTACATCACATTAGTTAACCCTGAAAAAGCCCAAGCAAAGCAAACACTACAAGAAACACTACCAGACTGTGGTATAAATACAGCACTACAACATATAAAGTCACTAACCTGTTTTATAATGATTTGGTAGTTTAAAGTTTTTCTCCTCTCAGGACTTATTATGTGGTCTCTGTCGCCATTTTGTGGCGGACCGTCAATCGTCTTTGCTCTGCTCAGTATGACAGGCTGATGGATGCAGACACACTGTATCTTTGAAATTATAAATATTTAAAATAGGTACTTTCCTTATAAATGAACTGCATAGTTGCAATCTAAACAACTACAATCTCGCTTATGTTATGTTGTCCAATAGTTGCAATATTTGTTAAACTGTAGCAAAGACTACATGTTACTCGTATCTTTCTGAATGGGGAAAAGCATAATGGTCAATATGGTCAATAAAGCCCCCCTACT